TCACCAAATATAACATAAGATACTTATAGAAACAATGCGATAATGAAAATGCGGAAAGTATAATAAACATCAACATTACAAAAGAAGTGTTATCGATTGTTGTGAATTTATACCGAATAAATGGACGAAAAACTCATAGAGTTGGTGACCGATCAGAAATGATGGTCAAGGCTGGTTTCGTGGAGTCAGACCTGGAGGTCGTGGAAGAGAATGATGAGGAGTGTATTTGTGTGTGTCTTAAGATTTTTTTCTGCATTTAAGTGTGTCTTTAATTGGCTATGTTATGTCTTTGCATTTGGTTTGATGTGTGTCACTTTGAATTATGTAATGTTTCAATGCTTGTATTTTAATTAATCAAAATTAATATGAGTATTGTATTTTATTATTTTTGTTTATTAAGCATGTGTACTTTACCTTGTGTGAGCGCACAACCTTTTTATTGCAATTTTCCTCTGTATAGTATTTGTAATATATGAGTTGTGTATCTATGTGATGCTTCTAATGGTTTGATTATTTTCTTTCTTTTTAATATTGTCAAAAGGGGAGAAGATGAGATAATGAAGAGGATTATGCAAGATATATGCATACATTTAGGGGGGCTATCAAAGGAAACAAGACATAAAGTCAGGGGGAATCGTTCCGTGTATCAAGAGAAGCACAACAGGCTACGGCTACAACATATATGTTTTCCATCATAAAAAATGGGGAGTATGTGAGTGCCGAGTATTTACAACTACAAATTCAATCGGGTTTTAAATGAAGTCAAGCAAGGAATTGATGAGGTAGTTTATTATAGTGATCTTGTATATTGGACGGTGTCAACCTAAATTTAGATGTTCATTTGTCCCCATAGCTTTAAAATGAATAAAAATAATCTTTGAACAAATTTGATAAGTCTTAGGCATGACATACACATCAAAAATCAAGTTTGTCAAAACAACAGCATAGGCCAACTTATACGTGATCAGGCCGACCTATGGAAGCTTCAGCTTCAGTATAGTCTGGCACATCCATGTTTCAGATCATCTCCTACGGTTCAAGAATGAAGTCTGTAGATTCTGCCCACAGGCTGCATTTCAGGTCGCCTCACAGGCCGACCTGAATACCTTCATAGGCTGACCTATGCAAGTTAAAACTTGAAAAATTCTTTTTGCATCTTATTTGTCTTGCATCCTTTTGCTCATCATTTTCATCCCTTCTTCTAAGTAAGGTTTCCTAGTGAATAAAACTTAAACGAAGCCAGATTACAAACTTGCCCATCATCTTCATCTCTTCTTCTATGCATACACACAATTGAACTACACATAATTATTTTTTGATTGGGTGACCATCTAGATTAGGGTTGATAACGTCCAATTAGGTTTAATGTAACCGAGAATATTGGGTTGGAGGCTTTGTATGTTTCAAATAACAAAATCAAGGTGGAATTTTCCTTTAAGATCAGGTTGATTTGAAGGTTTTGGACGAGATCACATCAACATAAATTCGACCGAGTAAAAGCTTTGGGACAAGATGATTTCCTTGTAAGGGAGTGGCGCGAGACAGTGAATTGTGTTTGAGAATCTCAGATTTCAACAAGTTATGTGCTATGGATAATCAGAGGATTGTAGCCGCATTATTAGTCACTTGATCAAGCATTGATCAAGGGTTGGAGTTGAAAGAATCAACACAAAACAATAGGCTTTTTGAGATTTTCATTCTTCATCTCTTGTATAAACATTTTTGCAAAGAAAATGTTAATAGCACTATCTCAATTCAATTTTGAATTGAGGGCAAGTGTACCCATAACAAGGCCGATTGGAGAACTGCCTATACAAATCTTAGTCTCTCTCTCTCTCTTCATCTCTTTATTTCTTTTATTGTTGATTATACAATTTATCGAGTTTGTCGTTGTTTGATCGATTTGATTGAAAATTATTTTCTACTATCTTTTAAAGGTGTTGTTGTTAAAATAATCACAATCACTTTAATTGTGATAGGTTTCAAAATCAACAAAACAAACGACAATACTAATTGTTATCAATCGCACATTAAGTGTTTGATAAATTATTTGTGCGTATTTTATTTGTGTTTTAGTTCATTGGATATACGAATTACGATTAACATTTTGCATTTAATTGATTCATAGCTTGATCATTGGTGAACATTTACGTTCGTTATCACTCCGTTTGATTTGCGTTACACATAATGTTTTTCGATAGTAGGTTTGGTTAGACGATTTGATCCAGGTCATTTTTCAGCTCCGAGTCGTTTTTCCGCTGCACCATATTTTTTAAAATAAACTTTTGCTTAAAATTTTTGGTTGTGAAATTTGTGATCTATTTACCCCCCTCTAGATCAAAGTCTATCGTTTAGCATAAAAAAATGCATTTGAGATATTTGACAGAAAGTTTTTCTTTACCTGAACTGAGGTCATGAACAAAACATGTTTAACCAAAGACACAGAGAAGAATGGAGTAGAGATTATATTGCGGGTTCAAAATAGATTATGAAATTTGATCTTGAGGACCGAAGAAGGCATTCGATTGATAAGGTGACATGCTACGAGAAGAGCATAGAATCTAAAGACAAGTTTGAAAATTATTGTGTCTAACCAATGCCTTGAACTTTAATTTTAGAGCCATCTGACACAATGACAAAAGGCAAAGAATCAAAACAAGTCAAGTTAGATAAAACAAATTTATTACTAGTCATATGATCGGAGGCACCAGAGTCAAGGACCTAAGTGCTTAACAAAGGCTACAAGATTATCAGACTGAACAACAGTAATAGAAGATGATGGTTGATGGGTTACTTTACACTAAAAAAACTCATTGTAATCAACGACTGAAATAGTACTTCTTTTGTGATAGTCGGTTGAGCAACAACTAAAACTCTAAGTTTCCGTTGTTGTTCTTTTGCCTTTATACAACATTTAATTGTCTCGGTTAGTTTCTCACACAGAATGTGCGAAACTTTGATAAAAGTGGAGAAATTTGTGGCAGAGTGATCTTCTACAAAAGTTGGTGGCCGAAAAGCATGCAAACAATACCACTCAGTATTAGAAAGAACAGTGGTTGCGACGAATGACGGAGTAAGAGTTTTTTGAACAGGAGTGCAATTTCCTGAGTTGAAATTGAAAAATGGGACCGGATCTGAAACTAGAACAAGGAGACGAGCTAGGTGATGAAAATTTCTCCAGAATCAAACGTCAGACGCACTGTCACGCGAGGTGGTGATGTTGGCACGTGAGGTTACAGCAACGTGTGGGGGTAGGTGTTGAGGAGATTTTTGGTGATTCTTTGAAGATGGGTCGGATAGGAGCAGACACTTCTCTCTGCAGATGTAGTGTCTAAGAAAGTCGTTGAAATCATTAGCAACGGTGACAGTAGCGGCGGTGGTAACCGAAAATTATTGAAATTAAACATACATGTATAAATGACAGCATACTGCATTTCGTCTTTCATATACTAACAAATAACAACAAAACTCATCATATTTGAACAACAACTTCCCATTTAATACGTAAGAAATCAGATTAGACAAAATTAGAATAATAAACATAAAACAATAATATAAAATAATATCAAAATATTATAATGACAAAAAAATAGAGGAGATGAAGATTAATGAAGATAAAAAGAAAAGAATAGAAGATATGAGAGATTAAAGAATAAGAGATGCAATAAAAACGAAATTAGAAGAAAGAACAATAACATAAAAATGAGAGGGTGAAAAAGAAAAAATATAAAAGAATAGAGATTAAAGAAGAAGAGATAAGATATATTTACAAAGAAGATACGATACAACTATAAAAGATTTGAGAATGTTAAAACTGAAACCCTAAATGTGAAGAAGAGAAAACTGTTTGTAATCGTAAGACTATAATATAATACGTTTAAATTTGAGTTGGATCTGAGTTAAGTGAAATTTGAGTTGTAACATAATACAATTTGATTCAGTTTTAAAAATACAAACTGCAAACCAAATTGGTTTGATGTTGAACACACCTACTTATAATACTTGTATTTCTATTAATATTTTGTTTCGATTAAAATTTATGATTTTATCGTATATTAATATATGAGAAAATACTATTTTAATTTATTTGTTATGATAAACTAAAACAATTTTTATTATTTAAATTGTTATTGTGATGTTTTTGTTGTAAATTGAACAATTTAATTATCTATTGATACATTTTATTGACATAACCCGTACCGTATGTTATGTTTTTGTTTTATGCTGTAGAAATTGTTATTCTGTAGCAAACATTTTATTGACATAACTCTTAGCAACTGTAACACTAAATCACATTATTTATCAAAGCTGAAGATAAATAATTCTTATGAAAAATAAAAGTGAAACATTGTTGCCACGAATCACATTTCAACAGCATAAATGTTTCTTCATGGTTGAACCTGAAACAGTGTCCTGCTCCTCCAAGAAGCAGCCTGTTGTATTGTGAGTATGCCAACAACAGAGGCTGAATTCAATCATGAAAGTTCCCATACTCCAGAAGCAGCCTGTTGTATTGTGAGTATGTCAACAACAGAGGTTGAATTCAATCACGAGAGTTCCCAAACTAGTCAGTAGTCGATGTGTATGGTTGAGAAGAAAACTCAACAGACTTAAGCAGACTCAGTTAAAGAGAGGAACTGTTAGGAGTAATTTTTCTGTCAGTTTCTAACTGAATCAGAATCATAGCAGTTGTTCTTCTAAGCTAGTGTCACTTTTTAATGAATCAAAATTAGGTACTTTAGGGGCATGTATCTATTGTCTATTCATACCGGTAGTTATAAATAACAAAGGTAGGAGAGGAGTGAATTCATCCTCAAAAAGTTAAATTTGTTTGAAAATAAGTATCAATAAAGATCATGACATAAAAATGAAACATAACATTATTCGTATTCATATCACAAACATTAGAATTATACATAATCCATATAACATGACTCATACCACACCTCACTCTTAACATACAAAACTTACAGTGTTGAGAATCACTTGTAATGACTTAATTATTCAGTAGAGTAATCACATGACACTTTGGGAGTTACTGATCTATGTCTCTTTGTCTTCACTTTCTTACTCTTCCTAGTTTTGGCTAATTTCTTCTCCAAATCTTTCACTCTCCCAGTCAAATTTGATATTACACTTAACTGTTCATTCCCAGCTTCAAGCAACTCCTTCATCAACTTCCTTAGCTTCTCATTCTCTTCCAACAACATCATGTTACCCTTCAACTCTGAATTATGCTTGCTAACAGATAAATCTACAGATGGTTCAGTTTCTTCCTTGGCTAAATTTTCTGTGTTTTTATCATCACCACTGTTCGTTTCTCCAGCAACAGTGTCTTGAACATCGATATGAGTTTCTTGCTGTTCAAGACTCTCTTTTGGATCATTTTCATTCAACATGATGTTTGCTACATCATTTTCTTCTTCATTCCCAAGAGATGGTAAATTTGTATCATTCAACATGATGTTTGCTACATCATTTTCTTCATTCCCAAGAGATGGTAAATTTGTATCATTCAACATGATGTTTGCTACATCATTTTCTTCATTCCCAAGAGATGGTAAATTTGTATCATTTCCAATTCCCTCTCCTGATTCTTCTGTTTCCATTGGTTCTGATTCTTCTGTTTCCATTGGTTCTTCCATTTTGAGTTCATCATCTTGTTTCTGGAACTCAATCTTTAGCCAACCATCTGATTCCTCGCTAGACTGCACCCCTTCTTTTTCTTCAACCAGTGGCTGCTCTAGTTCAGTATCTTTTTCTTTATATTCAGGTCTTTCTGCTTCAGATTTCTCTGCATTCTCGTCAAGCAGTTCTACTGGGAGTTCTTTAATGAATACATCATTTTCGGAAGTATTACTCACTTGGGATGTGGCAGCGTCTTCATCAAGTACTCCCATGGGAAGCTCCTTGATCGCACGCATATCAGAATCTAATCTTTCACTTGCAGAATCTTCAGTGGTATCTTCATCAATAACTCCAACAGGAAGTTCTTTAAATGCATTCATATTGAGTTTATCAACCTCAGTAGGAATGTCAATGACTTCCGATTCCAATTCCACTGGGCTGATATCCAGATTAAATAATCCATTAGGTAGAATAGTAGTCTTTGTTCCCTCATTTGATCCAGGACCAACATGGGACTGAGTTTCACTTACACCGTTGACATCCATCATGCAGAGCTGATCCTGAGGTTTTCCATCACTGATACCTTCAGATGAATCTTTTTGTGATGCCACTTTCTCTTCTTGTTTCTCTTGGTTATGTTCTCCATTTTGAACATTCGGAAGAGATATTTGAAGGTGTTTCTTAGCATCTAACTCTTGCATCTGCTGCTGAGGAGGTTTCTTCAGCATTATAGAATCAAGCTTTTCCTGCAAAGTCACAAGCTCTCTAGCCAGTGACTTTCTGATTTCCCTCAAACTTGGATGCAAACCCTGAAAATATATTTCGATTAAAAGTTAGTATAACATTGAAGAAGGAACAAAAACCATATCCAAAATCATCTATGATAGACCAGATAAATTTATACCATCTAAAGCGAAATTTGTTAGCTATGACTAACCTGTATAGTATCCAACTTCAGCAATAGTCTCATTATGGTCTCTCCAATGGCAAGTTTCTCCTTGTCATAAGTTTGAAGATTAGAAGAACCTTCAAAAACCTCAATACGATCCTTAACATAAGTCACCTCTTTACTGACTTCAGCTATCTGCCTTAGTTTCTTTAAGGGCTCTGATTTTCTTACTAGATAACCGCGGTAAATAGTTTGTATCACAACAGCAGCATCTGCATCCGACAAAACTCGTCTTTCTTTTTTACCATCTTCATGAACTGCTGTTTTTGTGGCCAAGTTTTCATTAGTCTTGTTTTGGGATACCTGATTAGTCGAACACAGCTCAGTTTTGTCTGTCCTGCTGTCCAAAGGAGTGTTGCTTGTTTCACAATCTATTGCTTTGGAACGTTCCCTTAAACCAGGTGGACTTAATGACCTTGATTTCATATTGCCATTTTTCTTCCTTGGTAATGGATCCACTCTTAGACAGACAGGAGGTAACTTTGATCCCTTAGTTGGAGAAGTTGGAGAAGTAGACCGTTGTTTGCTGACCGAGTGTGAGTATTTTTTTTCTACATTTTCTTCAGGGACATTCATTTCTCTCTTTTCACTTTCCATGGAGCTGTTTTTCACATGATTCGACTCAATCTGCTTCACAGGAATATTTCTTTGGTTACTCACTTTCTCTGCAAAATCAAAATCCCTTCTCTCTCTGGACTCAACATCATTTGAATTAGTCCTTTTTACAACACCTTCATCACCACAAGACTTCACAGGAACAGACTTGAATGTATGAGGCACCTCCTCAACACCTTCCTGTCCTACTGAACAGCTTTTTTGATTGTTTGTCCTTCCACCATCCTGTTGATTATTATAAGACGGAAACCAAATGAATGGAAATGGAAATTCAGATCTGTTTTGTTGTTCACTCTGATGTTTCTGATCCATTTTTTCATTTCCATTCTCCCCCACATTGTCATACATGTTCGGCACACCCTTTACATCAAAGGGTAACCATCCATTCCATAATCTCGGCATATCAGAGTCCTCCGCCCTAGTAAGTTTCTTATCATGCGACATTTTATCTTCCTCATCCACCCCAGTAGGATTTTTCATTTGTCTGTTACCATAGTACTCTGGTGGAACCCAAACCAAAGGGTATGGAAAGTTCCTAAACTCCATAGGATCATTCTCTTTCTTACCAAGATTAGGTTTTTGCTCTTCAATAGTCACAGTTCTATCTTCCTTTTCCTTTTGGCAGCATGAATGATTAGAACAACCGCAACAGTGACGATCCTTCAGCATATATTTATCATACTCATATCTCGGAACCTCCAACCCATAATGTGATTGTGGAGAATAAGGAACAAAGTACCCAGGACCGCCACCAGAACAAAACATTGGTGATGAATAGGGAACATGAGGATAAGAAGGCATGTGACTATAGCAGAAATGTGGTCCATAACTGCTAGCATAAGGCCAAGGTTGTTCATAAGGATAGGGCGATTTGGTCATTTGTGGGGTAACATGTTCCATGGAGGGATGATAGTAATAAGGAAATGGTATTTGATTTCTGTGAAATGGGTATGAATCCATGTTTCTATATGCAGGAATCATACTCACAATTACAAACTTGGAAAGTTGCTAAATCACAAACTCTGCAAAACACCAATAAGAACAAAATTGATCAATATTAATAATATGTTTCCTATGAAGCCATTTAACAAACAGCATATAGGCAAGAAAAAGAAAGACTTACACAAACAAAACAAGTACAGAAAAATCAAGCCACCAGGTTCTTCCACGCAATCCAAATGAAAATTTATCGAAGCAAAATCGAACCCCAAACCCGAGAATAAAGAGTAAAAGTGTTGTTGTTTTGTTGTAGGCGAAGAAAGATTGAAATTGTTGTGATTTATGAAATGGAATGTGTAAGAAAACATGTTGGTTATTTATATGGGGAAGTTATGGCTAATTGAGGAAAAAAGGTGTTCGAGATGCTTCGCGCGTTGTGTAGTTGTATCGATGATGAATATAACTGTGTCTAGATTGTTCGTAACAGGTGTTTTGTGGCCTACATATCCAGACACGTGTTAAATACAATAACAAATATCTCAAACGAACATTCGCGTATTTTTACTCTGTTCAATATTAAGCGAATTGTTTCTACCAGAAGAAAATATTAAGCCAGTTATTTTTACATTTTAGGTGTATTATCTTTACTAAGTTATAATCCTAGTAATTCTTCTGCCAGTTATAATCCTAGTAACTCTTCTACCAATTTTCCTTTCAAAATCTTCAACCATTCTTCACTTTAATTTTTATTTACTTATATTATATTATATTTAACACATATAATAAATAATATTTAGTAATAAAATAATTATTATTAGTCTTAAAAATAAAATAAAAAATATTAACACATATAATAAATAGTAATAATAAGAAAAAAATATTGTCCAGGTCCTTTAAAATATTTTAAAATATCAAATTGGTCTTTTAAATTTTATTTTAATGTTTTGGTCTTTTATGTTAATTAACGTTTGCGTTGACCTTTTTAAAAATTTCTGTTACGATAAATTGCAAAGTTATATATCATTTGACCTGGTTTTTCGTGTTGATCACGAATATACAATCAAATTTATTAAACAAGTTACTGTTCATGAGAATTAAGGAAAAAAATGGACAAATACATAATGAAAAATCGTTTGATCCAACAAAAGATCAATGCAAAAAACTAGTTCAAATGGTATATGAGTTTGCAATTTATTGTAAATGAGATTTTTATAATGGTTAACGACACAAATGTTATTTAACATAAAAGACCAAAGTGTTAAAAATAAACTTAAAGTGCTAATTTAATATTTTAAAATAAAATAATATTTTTTTTTCTTAATAATAATAATTATTAGCTTTAAAATATGACAAAATTTATAATTTATAAAAAAATATAATTTAATAAATTAATATAACAAGTCGATAAATAATGATAGTCCGTAGCCGCTCTCTTAATCTCTCTCCATCTTTTTTTCTCTCCTAATCTCTTTCTATATAAATTCATTAGTAGATAATTAAGATTTTTATTTTATTTTTTTATTATAAAATTTCACATGTAAAATAATAACATCTCATAAAATCCATTCTACTTTGTTATTAGATATAAATAATTTAATTTAATTTTATAAATTTGTTAGATATAAAATAATTTAATAAATAATTATGAGATAAATTATTAAATTATTTTAAAATTTTTAAGATACCACACTTAAGCTTTTTAATAAAAAAATTTAAAAGATTCAATTTTGTTTATAGTTTTCATTTAAAACAAGTTTTAAAGGTCTGCTAGAATTATTTATTAAATTTAACAATTTTTAATAAGTAAGGATGATAAAATGGATCCGACTTGTCGGACATGATTATTTTACCTGCATTTTTTTCAGGACTGAAGTTTTTAATGCTACATCCTCTAACTGATTTTGTGTAAACTAATTACTTCTAATTAATTTTAAGATTGCTTGAGGAATAAGTTAGTCTTTTCTAACTTGTTCATGGTGTAATATCTTTCACGAGTTGGAGGATAAATGTTAATCGTGTCCAACTTGAATAGTAGAATGTTAAATAGTTGTGGTAAAAGAGACTTGGTGAAACAAATCAGCCAGTTGGTCTTTGGTGTTGTATGCCCTTGGGATTGTAGAACTGATTCAGGATGAACTCAGGTCCATTGTCAGACCTAACATTTTTGGGTGTGGTATTGTATTGAGTTTCAACCATATTAATGAAGTCTTTCACATGTGTGAAAACCTCATCTTTTGATTTTAAACATAGAATCCAAGTGAATATACTACGGTCATCAAGAATTGTTAGAAAGCATTTGTGGCCATGAAAAGATTGAGTGGATAGGATCCAAATATCAAAATGCAACAAATCATATATGGATAGAGCATGAGATTTACTAGTTTGAGAAGGTAATTTATTTGTTTAGCAAAATGGCACATATCACAAATGTTGGATTTATTATGACCAATGTCATGGTACAATTGTGTCATTTGTGTCAATCTATTGCTAGATAATTGGCCAAGTATAAAATGACATAAGGAAGATAAAGGAAAGAACAAAGTACATTGAGAACCATCTAATGTGCTTACATTTTTCAAGTCTTGAGGGTTATGTTGGTGGAGTTTTTTGGTAAAGTCCATTCACTATCTCAGCCAAATCAATTATCTCCAATGTCTTCATATCTTGTATATGACAAGAATTTATGGTGAATTAGACTTGACAATGTAAGGACTGACACAATCTTGATACAAATATAAGGTTTAATCGTAAATCAGTTGAATATAATACATGAGTAATGTATATAGTTGTGGTGAAAAATGAACACCACCAGCATATTCAATTAAAACTGAGTTTCCATTAGGAAAGTGAACTTTGATAGGTTTAATTCGATAAAATGATGTAAGACAATATTGAGAAGAGCAAATGTGGTCATTTGCACCTGAGTCAAAAAGTCATACCTTATAATTTTCATCTCTTTACTTCATTTAGTTTTATAATTTTTCTACTAAACTTATAAATTAATTTTATAAAATATTTATCATTAATAATAATTCAATAACATATTCATGTGCATCGCACATGCATATGACTAGTTATATTAGAGAAAATAATATTTTATCAAATTATTATTCTAAATAACAATTATTGTATTTATTGTAAGAATGTTTTAATAATTAAATATATAATTTGAATCATGTGAAGGGTTGTTATTGAAAAATAATATGAAATAGTGTTATTTAAATAATATGTAAAGTGATGTTATTTAAATAAAGTAAAAATTTGTTAATCAAATAAAATAAAAATGTGTTATTGTTAATGAGCAAAAATAATATCTATAAAAGAATGTCTTATTGTAACGAAGTATGAATAACATCTCTAAGTAATGATTACTTATAAAAGAATTCGAGTATGTTGTATTACTTCTCATATAAAATTATAATATCAATATCTGAATTGAAAATCTAATCTAACAATTAGAATGAGAACTTTTTGTTATTGATAATTAAAACTTTTGTGATGCCATAAATATATATTACATGAATATGTATGTATATATGTAATTATTTGTGTTGCAAAATCTGAACACAAATTCCAAAAGTGTTTTGTGATAGTAACGTATCAGATAAATAACACTGTGTCAATGAATAATTGTCACATATACACATATGTTATATTATTATAGAGTAATATTGGTTGAAATTTGAATTGCATGAAATGTTACTTATGATTGACACACAAACACTGTATTATTGAAGATGCAAAGAAATGCATTTTATAATATGTCTTCCATAGTATACTATTGACGCTCTTGGTCTGTTATGGAAGGCGAATGTTCGAGCAAAAATTAAGGCTTTCGGATGGAAAAAATTTCCCAATAGGTTGGCTACGCAGGATCAGTTGCTTGCTAGAGGAATTTGTTTTTCTGAGGAGGAGAGGAAATGTGTTATGTGCAATCATTATGTTGAGGTTTTGAAGCATTTGATTTTCTGCTGTGATTTTTCTTCACAGGTCTGGTATAGGTTGGGGTTGGGGCTGGACTGTGATGTTTTGTTCGCAGACAGTATTTCTCAGCATTTCTTACAATGGCAGGGAGTTAGGAAATCTGTTGGAGTTAGTAATAGGAGAAGCGCAATTTGGTTGGCCGTAGTGTGGAGTATTTGGAAGGTTAGGAATGAAGCTATTTACGAAAACGATATCCGTAACTTGAATGATATTATTTAGAATATTAAAATTTTAGGTTAGAAGTGGACTTACATAGAAGAAATTAACTATTCCAACTCTGATTTTTACGATTTATGTAAGTTGCCATACGGTTAGGCCAAGGTGTTGGTAGGAAATTTTTTCAAATGGAGCTCTTTTGTAGCGGGTTGAGTACCCCTAGTACTCTTTTAATGCCATTTTACTTTTTTAGAAAAAAATGTAATGTTTTAATATCATTCGTATATATATGAAATATGAAATGTAAATATTATAATATGATAATCACGTAGGCATAAGACAATACACGTAGCTAAAGATTTCTGAATAATTTTATTATTTATAGGGTTAAATATGTTTATAGTCCTCATAAATATTTTAATTTTGTTTTTAGCTCTTTAAAATATATTTTTTAAAGAATGATGAGATTTTTATTTATATTTTGGTCTCTAGAGCACTTATTGACGGTTTTTACACCTTAACGACAGAACTAAAGACGGTTTTAGCGATAGTTTTTAACTTAACGATTTAATTAGTGACAATTTTAGTATTAAAAACTAAAAGTGTGGAAAAAAAATTTAGAAAGACTATTCTTTAAAGAAAATATTTTAAGATATTAAAAACAAAATTTAAAATATTTAAGAGGACCACAAAAAAAACAAATATATATATATATATATATATATATATATATATATATATATATATATATATATATATATATATATATATATATATATATATATATATATATATATATATATATATATATATATATATATATATATATATATATATATATATATATATATATATATATATATATATATATATAAAAGTTTATGTCCGATAATGTATCATTT